AAACGGCTTGTTGCATTAAAAAGAGGATACTTTAATTAATAATTGGTGATATTTCCACAAGGATCCTTCAAGAAACTAATTTTATAGCGAATTTTAAGAATTATCGATGAAAATTGCAACATCGAAAATTTTAGCAAAACTTCAAATATTGTTTTCTCAAAAACTAAAAGTTATTTTTCAAAACGTGTTGGTTCGTTGGAAAGAGGACACTTTTATTAACTCTTTGGGAAATGTTCATACTCATATTCCAAAAACTGGATTTTATGAGAATTTTTAAAACTTAATCGGAGAAAATTGCAAAATAGTATCATTTCAAAAATTTATTCCTCAAGAACTGAAAGTGATTTTTCAAAACGGCTTTTTGCATTAAAAAGAGGATACTTTAATTAATCGAAATTGATAACAGCGACAGTTTTATTAGTAATAAGAAATTAAATAAAAATTGCTCATTTTTATTAATATCCTCAATATTTTCAGATTATTACTTACTTTTAACAAAATTAACAATCTCCGCTTCATTTACATCGACATCATCTTGTTTAACAACGAAAGCCATTGGAAGTTCTCCAGCTTCCTCATCTGGAAAACCAACCACAGCTACATCTTTAATTTTAGGGAATGATAAAAGAACTCCTTCAAGCTCTGCGGGCGCTACTTGATACCCTTTATATTTAATTAATTCCTTTAATCGATCAACAATATAAAAATATTCATTTTCATCATAATAACCGATATCTCCCGTTCTCATATACCCATCGGAAGTGAACGTTTCTTTATTAGCAGCGTCGTTTTTATAATAACCCTTCATGATTAAAGGTCCTTTAAAACATAATTCACCCTCTTGATTAGGTCCCAAATTCTTCCCGGTTTCCGGATCTCTAACCACAGCTAACATATCCGGGTCTAAAACACCACAAGATCCCGTTTTTTCGGTAAACGATGGGGTTAATGTTAAAACGACTGTTGTTTCTGTTAATCCGTAACCCTGTCGGATGTGTTTAACAGGAATTCGTTTTTTAACTTCTCTTTCTATAGATTGACTGACGGCTCCAGCTCCAACAAGCATTTCTTGGACGTGAGACATATCGTAATTATCAACGAGTGGATGTTTTGCGAAAAAATGTAAAAGTGGGGGCGCAACGTTTAATGAGGCAATTTTATATTTTTCGATGTAATGAAGATAAGTTTCTGGGTCAAATCTTTCCATTATTACGACTTTTAATCCTTTAATTATTGCTATAAATACTGTTATTACACCAAAACCATGGAAGAACGGTAATAAACCGAGTGCTACGGTTGTTGGAATCTCTGCATTTATTGCAGGATCACTAAAATAAATTGTATATATTTATTAATAAGCATTACAATTATATTTGTGTATATTATACTTACAAAGCGTGTGTTGCTTTTGTATTCCAATTTCTGTGTGTAAGTTGGACGCCTTTTGGGAGTCCCGTAGTTCCGGAAGAAAATAGAATGATTGCAACTTGGTTGTCGATATCGACATCGTCTGGTTTAAAATTAAAAACGTCCACGGTTCCGGGACAATGAGTGTCTAAAAATTCATCTAACGTTGGGCAACCTTCCTCTGGTTCCGGGCTGTTTATTAAAACGATTTGTTCGATGCATGGAAATTTTTCTTTTAGTGCTAAAACTTTATCCAAGAAGTAAACTGAGCAAAATACCACGAATGGTTCAATTAAACCAAGTGCGTGAGATAGTTCCGCTAAAAAAATAGAAAAAAAATGTGATTTTGATGTTTACAAGGATTAATATAGATAAGTTTTGTTGATATACTTAGGGTTTTATATCATCTCAGGAAATGATAAATATTAATCTATATCTAATTGGTTTTGCTTTTTAGTGTAGTTTTTGCTTTATTTAAAGTAAAATACTTTTTTCTGTTTGTACTTTTATTAAAAATGGATTTATTGTTTTTAATTCTACCGGTTTCGGTTTATTTATAGAACCATCTTCAGGAACCTTCGAATCTCGTCAATTTATTTTAAATGTCTCTTGTGATAACTAGCATCTTGATTTTCTAGTAAACGTTTTTATTGAAATGAATCTGTGTCTTTATTTTTAGGTGTAATGTGTGTTATGCTTAAACTTTCGGACAGGATTCTATTTGTTATTGTTTTAGAATAAAGCTAAAAATAAACTTTTCTTTTAGTGTCTTCCAAGAAATTAAATTTACAGTTTCCTGTAAATTACGGTACTATAATTAAAAATTAAAAAAACATATTTCTGATATTTGAAACAAATATATTTGTTGAACTATTTAATTTATATATGTAATTATACAAAAGTTGGAATAGATTGCATTATTTCACATTTTTTATTAATATTTAATATTATT